TCTATCTGGTCTTTATTAATGTTTGTAATATTATTTTACTATTATTTATAGAACTAGAATAATTGTTGAACCAACTAAATTTGATTGCATTTGTATACAGTWATGCATTTATACTTCAGTAGTTTAAAATATAAAGTGTATTGATTGTATTTGTTTAATTAATATAATACGTTTAAATAATTAAAACGATTTGACATTTTTTTTTTCATGGATGGTCACTCTGACTATCGGAGAAAAAATTGGTTGTTATCATTTGTCGGAGAACGGCCCTCGGTCGTCCACGGAGAACTAGAACAGGAATAAACTAATAACGCCATCTGTCCAGTAAAATAATATAAATTTAAAAAAAAAAATGGTTTGGCTTGTTCATATTAATATATTATTTTAGAAATATAATATGTGAAATGAGTTTGTTAATTTATTGGATTTACCAGAGTTTGAAAAATCTTATTTAAATCGGTAAAAAATATGTGGATTTAGGTATATAATCTTCTTCAAATGTAYTCCTACCTCAGTATTGATCATATCATACATTTGTACCTAGTGTTGTAGTTGTACCCCGACTATTAAACGTCCGTTGGAACACCTCACACTGTGACCACTGGGACTCCGACAGACCATTTGGTCTAATTCACTATCGGTTGTACACACAACACTGTCCTCACTCGTCTTCTAGTACGAGCAACCCACACGGACTGAAGCCAGGACCAGGCAGCCACTAGTATCACTGTCCMTATCAATATGGCGAGCAGTTCAACTAACTAAGACGGCGAGACTGATTCATACTCCAGTACTACTATTTGCAGTAAGGTTCCACTACGTAACGGTGCATCATTGTGAGTCATTAAAACCCGAAGTGGGTCTGATTGTGGGCCGCGTGGGTGAGGTATTGTAGGAACTGGGGGAAACAAAAAAATAAAATAAGATTTATGTTCGGTGGTGTAGTGTTTGGTTTTTTTTTTGTTATTGTAACACCCCCCAAAAAAAAAATAAAAAAAAAACACAAATGGAACAAGGGCAGTTTAGATGTGCTGAAAATGTCATCGGTGCCGGTGAACGAGCCGAGCGCGTTTCTTCGTGATCGAGTGATGTATCTCGATAATATACTCGTGTCGTAAAACTGTGTCCATCCGAGCCGGTTCGCGGGACGGCTGGCCGACGGTTCCTGGCGCGGGTGTCGTCGATTGGCGGTTTGTTAGAGAAGCCATAGCGTGGTTTCCGCGTAAGGGCTGTTTGAATTCAACCGGCTATTACGCGGGTCTGCGTCCATTGAACTATAATATGATAACTGGAATGATCACCAAGCTGCAGTGTTGCCCGAAACGGAATGTTAGAACGAGATGGGACATACTAATGGTGTTACTATATTATATCTTTGTCTTACACATTGCGCTAATATCTTGAATTGATTTACCGCGGTCCGCGATATTATTTTAGACTTTAGTTTGGCTCTTAAAATTTGGTAKCTTTATATTTTATTATTTAACTTCCACATAATATTTATGATTACATTGATAGAATATGAATAATTATAATTTATAATACCTATAACAAGTATTRAAACATGCTTTTCTTGTGGACTTAGTGTCCATTTGTCATAYAAATGTAAAGGAAGTTTTAGGGAATTGTATGTTAAATGTTGGGAATTAAATATTAAGTTTTAAAT